TTTCTGTGTAAGAATTACATTAATGCTAGAGATATCTATTTTTCTGGTACCTGAGGATCTCTATCAGATCATTTTTGCTGTTCCTTATGATACTAGATGATCAATAACTAAAGCAAGGTTGTGCAGACTCTGAGAGAGAACCAAGATTTCTTTGTCTTTTATCACCTTAAATATGCTAATGCCTAAGAATTTTATCAGGAAAGGGACTTCATTCTGAAAAGTGTTGTAAAAGCTCTAGCTATTAAATGATTTCTCCAATGAATGCATTACAGGTGGCTGAAGCCAGACTCTATTAAGCCACTTTTGAAATGGTCTGTGCGCTAAGGAATTAGTGGTGTGTCCCATAGAAAATATCTTCATTGCTGGGAGAGGTGCTAATTCTTTTTCCTAAAAGGACCCCAGACTTTCTGACATGCTTTGACTTACAGGCTTTCTCTTTGCCTCTCAGAGTTTTGGGATGGTTGCTCTTCTGTGAAGTGTAAGCATTTACTTAGACAAATGTGACCTCTAAGTACTTACCTAAGCCCTTGAATCTTTGATAAAGGACTTTTTTATATATAAAATACACACATAGATGCACAAAAAAAATGTTACAGAAATGCCATTATGACCTTTAACTATAAACCTTGAGCCAGAATCAATATGAATCAACGATGAATTCAGTATGGATCAATAATGAATAGCTCTTCTTTCTGAAGACTTGTAGGTACTTTTAATAGATACTTTTTTACCTACCCTTCTAAGGTGTGGAAGAGTTACCTGTGAATGTAGTAACACAGATACTGGCTGGTGTAATGAACTGTGTACCAGTTTGTATTTAAATGGCAAACTTGGTAGCACACTGAACTCCTTAGATTTGCCAGGGGCATGTCAGGGCAATGATTGTGAATTGAATATTATGACTAAATTGGAGAACAACATGTCTTCAGTATTACAGACCTCAGAGGAGAAGATTGCAGATGTACTTTTTATCATAAAGAGAGGCAGAATACAATTATGAAATCTTATCACAGTAATAATTCAAGGAAAAAAGTAATATGATTCATCAAGAATACATATTAAATTCAGTAAACTGGATGGACACAAATATGACATCAACAGCGTAACATAATATATCACAGCATGACCAACACCTGAACCCAATCAAAATCTGACTGGATGATATAGAGGTTAGCTAACATATAATGCATTAGATTTGGATTAAAATGTGATTAGAAAGTTGTATTACCTTTTATCTACTTGCTGACCACATTCTAAAATGCATTTGTGGTACTTTGCCTCTGTGAAACAAGGGTAGGTGATACCAAGTTGTGCCTAGAACACTAGTTACATTGCCAATGAGATCAATCCACAATCTCAAGTCCAAAGCCTAGTTTTTATAAGGCAAAAGGCAAATAGATAATGCATATCTAGTAGAATATTTTACTCAGTTTATGAAGATATTTCTGTCTTGCGTTTGCCTCTTTCATATTATTGCTTCTTAAATGCACAATCATTTTCACTTCAGTCTGTGTCTTTATTTTCTTACTTTGTTTTCAGAGATCTCCATCTGTCTCCTTCTGACCTGTGGGACTCTGGCCAGTGTTAAATATTCCACATTCTTCTGTTCATCTGTTGCGTTTTCTGCTGAATTCATTATTTAGGTGTCACAGGATGAAAGTATAATGGACTTTGCTACAGCCAGCTTTATGTGTGTGCATAGTTTGTGAGAAGAGAAAACAAACCTGCACAGCTGGTGTTCCCTGCAAATCTCCTAGGTGGATGCTAATGTAGTGGGCTGGAGTGGGCCCTGGACTGTAGGTCTGTTACTGAGGTTTGAAAGGAAGGGGGACAGGATTCACTAGAGGAGAGCATCTCTTCTGCCAGCTCCTGAGATCTCCAAAAATTCAAGCTGCATGCTTTAGGCAGACAAACTTCGTGCATCCCATGGGCACAGTTAGGACCACTTAGGGGATGAGTCTTAGAGCTCGGTCGTCTGTCGTTAACTTTGTTTTCTCAGTGATATTTTGGTATAATTTATCTGTCATGGCAGACCTAACGGAACCTATTATTTCTGTTTAATGATGCATCATTATGAGAACATAATGGGAACTAATTAACTGAAATATCAGCTGAATATTTGTTTGGTTGTTTCTCATTCTCTTAAAGAAGTTTTTTTTTCCTTACAAAACTAATATATGTAGAAATGTTTTAATGAAGTATCAAGTATTTGAACTAAAAGCTACTTTTTGTTTTATTGCTGTCATCAAAATATTATATTGTGGAGCTGTTGTGTGACACTCAAGAATAAAAACTGCTCCATAGAGAGGAAGAAGGTGACTAGCACTTTTAGGGCAACTCTGTACATCTGCTTTCTTCTGGAAAACGGGAAAGTGAGAAAGAGAGTGGAAGAGAGGCAATTTCAGACAGTCAGGTTTCTTTGCATTATAGGCAATTGAAACTGCCGAGACTGAAGGAACAGGGCCAGAGGTATGCTTGATATGTTCAGGGGAAGGAGAAAGAAAAGAAAATACAGCACTATTACCTCACAAGCAAGAAAGCAATTTTGCTTTCCAGGGCTCTGCTGTTGATGAAAAGGTAATGTGGGTTCATGATACCAGGCCAAATGCATGTGCTTCTGCCACCTTCTGACAAGGTCTGAGCTCCTCTGTTTAGGTGAGGAAAGTTGGGTCAAGGATTAATGGAAATTACACTTCGTAGCAAAGTAGGAAGGTAGGGAAATCGGAATTAAACTTCTTAAAGTAGAAATAGCAAATGATACTTTTGAATTAACAGTAGATTGTTGTATGTTGTAAAGATGTTAGAAAAAGGAAAAATAGCTTATAGTTGATGTTTTCATACATGTTTTGTCTGCCATGCAATATGTGGTTCTTTCTGTCATTTTTTACTGGCAAATTGTTTCTGCTTTGTAGTTCATAAATTAGCAGGGAGACAAAGCTGTTAAAAATTAAGCCTGAAGACTTGACATCTCAGTATGCTCTAAGGAGAGCACTAAAATGTCAACTGATTTTTCTAGCTATTAATACACAATCCCAGATTTCTATTAACACATAAAAGTGACTACGGCTGTAGTAGATAAGATGATAAAAGTCTCTTTTGGAAGAAGAAAGGAAAAATCCAGAGTAGGTCAGTGCCCAAACAGAAGGAACTGAATTAACTGAAGGAAAAAAATATTAATATCTTTTTAGATAAAGCTTACTACTCTCCATCAGACGTTTCTTTCATACGGGATGGGTCTTCATCTCAAATATTTCTTAGTTTCTTGCCATTTTCTCTATTTTGCCTTGAGGTTATGTTGTAGGATGAGCTCTCAGACTGTAAGGAGGAAACTTCTTTTGCTGCAGATGTAGAGGGTAACAAATAAAACAGAAGTAACTTAATTGTTAGATTTTAAAATTATTAAAAATGAATTAATTGCATAAGTGTACCTTTGTATACCAAATTACTTAACCCTACACAAATATATGTAATAATGGTAGCCTCAAAATTGATTCAAATCAAATTGAAAATGATTTGAAAAGAATATAAGGATCTTCACACATTTCTAAAAGAATTTGAGTTAAAACCTTTGGGTGCAGATTGGGCCTTTGCTTTTATGCTCTGGAAAGCTCCAAGGTGCCTTCCTGCTTCAAGTGCATAGTGTGGCTAGCTGTTGTTATTGGGTTTCACAAAATGAGGGTATGTTTGGGGCTGCATAGCATCTCTAGAGCTGCTGCAGAGCTGCCCCCACCAGCACCTGTCCTTCTCCCAGCTCCATACATTTCCTACTTGTTTTCCTTAGCTTGGTGTGAGCGCTGGAGCTGACCTGAGACACTGATGCAGTTTCAGTGTGGAACTGATGTACAGCAGAGCTTATGGTTTAAAGATGTAAGCCTTCTAGCTGGTCACAAAAAGCACATACCGTTTGGCAATGTGTTTCCAAACAGCAGCTTGCCACAGAAGAAGCATGTGTCACTAAATATGAAGTAGCTCTAAAGCAAGAAGAATGAATTTCACTGAGTCTTCTAGGCTTTATTTTTCACTATTGTTTATTTTTTGTGTATAGAAAAAGACTGGCAAATGTAGAATTTAAGCTGTAGAATGATGTTGATGTTTATGAGTGAAAATGTGTTACAGTTTTTTTTTTTTAGTCGGTAAGATAGGATAAAATCTGTTCAAAGGTAAAGCCAAAGGGTTATTTACATGACAGTGGTTTATGATACAGTAAAATATCATCCTTTTGAAATTTCAAGTTTACAAGCTGTAAAAGGATAGAATTTGTTGGCTTATACCTGGTCTACATAGTGTTGTTCTTATTGCTTAAGTATTTTTCAGTATTTCTTAATTAGCAAAATAAACTGACATAATGATAAAATTGCATACTGAAAAAAATGATCTTTTCAAAGGGATGGTTAGTTTATTTCCATATATATTTTTAGAACTCTTTCTCTGCAGCCCTCGTGCCCTCTTCCCCACAAACATAATGGAGATCAGTAGATGAGTGAATTCACTTAGCTTTGAGTGTGGTGTGAATACTGCTCTCATTGTCAAACAGGAGACTGAAGGAACTGCAGACTTCTCCTTGCCACTAAAAGTCAAGAAATTGAAACCCTTTGTCCTGATCAGTCAAGTATATTTTTGCTGATTGTCTAGCAGAAGTAGTTTCCACTAGTACAAAATGTTTGAAGGATGTTTTCCATACTAAGTCCTGCCTTTAACAAAGGGGTCCAATGGTATAGTCATTAAGTAGAGATCATTTTTTCCATAAGTCAGTGGGAGTCTTCAGTGTTTTGGAGAATTTTACAGACCTTGGAAAGGAAGCCCTCAATTCTGTGAACCGTATGATATTTGCAAACCTTAGCAAATTCAAACTAAGGTTTTAGTAGTGTTATCTCTATCATTATCAGTCTTTTCAGGTAGGATGAAAAGTTCTGTATCACTGTATTTATGCTGTGTTATATTTTTTTCAGTTGTGATATTCATTAACATACTCTAAATGCTTTCATACTTGTATTTTTCAGGTCAGAAGGTGTGCTATGGGGACTTCAAAAATTCATGTTACAAGATAGCATATTTCCAGGACTTGTCAAGGCGTGTGGGCTTTCAGGAGGCTCGCCAAGCTTGTGAAATTGATGGTGGGGCTTTACTGAGCTTGGAAAGTGAAGCTGAACAGCAGCTAATAGAAAACATGTTACAAAACCTCACTAAATCAGGCTCTGGGATTTCTGATGGTGATTTCTGGATTGGGTTGTGGAGAAGTGGTGACGAACTAGCCACAACTGCTTGCCCTGACCTTTACAAATGGGCTGATGGAAGCATTTCATCATTCAGGTAAGTCTGTGAAATCACTCGCTGAGAAATAGAGTGTAAAGCTTAGCAACCCAAATTTTTATAAACAAGCAATAAAAGCCTATGAAATTGATATCATAACTTCTAAAATTCTGCATCTGGCAGTCAGGATTTTGCATGTGAAGCTGTAGATAGGTGACATGATGTGGTTTCACTCTGCAATTCTCCTTACTCTCATCTCCTAAGTTTGCCTTTGTATAGATTTCAGAGGTCTTTTCCCCCAAACAGAGGATATAGGGCATGATGTGGAAGCAGACAGACAAATTCTGCAAGATTCTGGCCACCTCAGATCAGAAGCCCAGACAACAAGGAAACTAATTCATAATGCTTTTGTTTCTACCCCATCTTTTGAAAAGTCTTAGGCCAGAATAGTAGCAGCTAACAGAACTCAGAGTATGAAGGGACCGATAAGGGTCAAATAAGAAAGAAGTCGGGTAACAATGTCAGAGATGACTTCTGCAGAGGTGCTTTGGTTGTTCAGAATTTTTTAAGAACCAGAGATTTAGAGTCTAGGCCCTCAAGCCTAAATTTCCTAGGGGAGTTGTGGAAAATGCAGTTTACTTTGAAAGAGAATGAGGCCACTGAAGTTGACATCTTGTCATGCATATAAGTTGTTTTCCTAGATGTTTTGATAAATCTTTAATCTTTAATATTTGAATGTTTTTATGTGCATGGCTAGGAATTGGTATACAGATGAGCCTTCCTGTGGAAGTGAAGCCTGTGTTGTGATGTATCATCAGCCAACTGCAAACCCTGGTCTGGGAGGGCCATATCTTTATCAATGGAATGATGATAGATGCAACATGAAGCACAATTTTATCTGCAAGTATGGCCCAGGTAGGTGGAACTGAAGTCACATTTCATATGGGAAATGTGGGAAAATGTTAGAAAAGTAATGCTGTTTGTTTTGTGAGGGAGCCTGTAGATACTTTGGCGCCGCGCTATCACACCTGCGTATTGTAGTGGTTATTTTAGTGAGTGAACACCTGAACATTAATGGGAGATGTAATACATGAAATGTAATGAAAGTTGTACTTATTTATCTGTGTCCAGTATTTTTCTCCATTAAACTGAGGCCTTATAATAAAGAAAATTTTCACAATTAGTTTCATTCCTATGTATTCTCAGTTTAATTTTGATTTAACTTATTCACTGATTACTGTAGACTCCCCAAAGCACTATAAGTAGCTGTATATCACTTCCCCTGTTCCTTATCAAGAAGGATGACCAAGGCATACTGCAGACTGTGTTGTGTCCTTGCAATTTCGCATCTTTGACAATTTATTTGAACTTATGTGTAACAGCTGTCTAGAAGTTTTGGCTTAAAGAAAATTCTGCGTTTGTACACGTACATATCTGCATATGAAAAGCAGATGTATACTAGCTCAGATGGTGACAGAAAAATCCAGATCTTATGCAATTTGGCTGTACTTCCAGACATGACATAGATTCTGCATATGCCAGTAAGGAAACATAACTATAAGCTAGAATTTTGTGCAAACAGAAAAAGGACACGAAAGGCAAACTTCAAGTGGAGTCTGTTACTGCTTCTACTTTTGGTAGTATTTACAGTGAATGAAAAACATATTTTTCTGCAAGATTATGCAAATATTTTCAAAGAGCTTTTGAAAAGTAGACTTATCACAAATTTGGCTGAACAGAATCAGAATGTATATGAAATCCTACTCTTAGCAGCCATTTGAGCTGTCTAAGTCTGAAGAGTTTCCTACCTGCTATCTCTGTATTCATGATCTAGCAATGAACACAATCCCTCTGTTAGAGGCGCATCTATTGGTAAAGATCCAAGATATTTCTTCTTCTAGTTTTGTTGTTTAGGCAACTTCCTTACTCTTACTCTAGTGTCTTAATGAGATGCTAGAGAGTGGGTGAGAGATATGAGAAGGATATCTATCCAGCAAATACCGAATAATAATTGTAAGGATTGATATGTCCAAACATGTCTCCCCCCAAAATATCATTGGCCAGCTCAGTCTCATGCAGATCTTGGTCACACATGCCATATAGGGCAATTACCTATACAACTACCAATACTTGTTATGACTTATCACAGTTATTTTGAAATGCAAGAATAAAAGTTTTAAGTTATTAATATTGCGACATAATTTCACATTTTCATTTTGGAAAATATGTTTGAAAAAAAAAGGCCTCATATCACATGTATTTTATACCTCTAAAAGCAAAGGTAAGTGAAATAATTATTCTGTAATAATGAGCTATTTACCCATTACAGTAGTGATCCAATACAGAATTATTAATTCCCATTGCTTTCACCATCAAAAGTTTTTTTGGAAGGGATTGGCCAAAAAAAATAGTGATAACAGCAACAGTGAAAACAACTCTATATTTCTTTTACCAGATAGAAGTGCATTATTAGTGTATAATAAGGAATGTCACATCAATAAGGAAAACAACATATGTTAAGATTGACATTGGTTTTCAGCTAAATGCAGCACTGCTGAATTGTAGCTACTTGCTTTTCGAAGCATTTGGAATTGTGCTCTTTAGTAAAGCAGACTATTCACCAGAAAAGTGGATGTTTAAATGCATATAAATAAGTATATGACATTTCTTTCACTACCTAAAGAAAGTATCATAAAGGAAGATTACATTTGCTATCTAAAACCTAGTGAGACATACAAAAGACTTTTTTTCTCTCCAAATTACTGTAATAGCTTTAGTTATTTGTAATACACCCATTTTACCAGCAGTATTTTTTTCCTCTGTTTTGAGTATGTGGTGTACAGTACCCTCATATGCCAAAACTGAGAACTGTAGGTAGCAATAATAAGAGTTGAGTCTACTTGTATCAGTGGTTAATTCAGTGCTGTGCATGATTATGCAGTCTTACGCAAGCAACCACTTGTTTCTGGTATTTATTTCTATTTTGCTTTAAGTTCTTTTTATAGTACCTCCCTTGACAATATTTAGTGTTGCAATGTTTTGTCTGGCTTTAAATCATATTGATCATTTCAGCATCTTAAACTTAATTATAGGTTGGCAATTGCAACCACATTTAGTTCCTGACCAGCTCCTAGAGGTTTGAATATGCCATCAAATTAAAAGCTCATCTCTTCTCCTACTGTCTAGAGCCAGCAACTCAGTTTTGTGGTATTGTGGTGTTTTCCTTAGGTCATGACCAAATACAGCCAGCTTTTGGTAGAGTAGATGAAACAATTGCTTTTGTTCTAGTAGGCTCTCTCTCATTTCTGCCTTCTGCATTTATCAGTACACTTGTAAACTGCAGTTTAAAACAACTATGGCATTTTTATAATCTTATGCTAAAGGAATGGTATTCCAACAATTCCACATCTGTGGGCATCCCTGCAATAAGAGGGCGAATCCTTCTGTCATCTTTTAATCTTTTAACTATAGCAGTGGCCCCAGGTAAACTTGCAAGCCTCTACTATATGGCTTGGAAATGAATTAGTTGTCCAATTTATTATGCATTATAGGAAGTACAATGCTGTCATTCCTCTTCTGGTAATTTTACTTCTTTACTGTCTGGTATATTGTAATTCACTGCTGATTGTGTGTATTTTAGGGCTGCCTCTTCCAAAACCAAACCAAATGACATAATTGACTTGTGTATTTCTGTGGTACTGCATGCAAACTAATGTAGAAACAATCTGTTTTATTATACTCATTTTTTATTGTTCAACTATTGATTTAACAGATAATGTCTTGGAAAAAGAATTAGGAGACAGAGCAGAGCTAGAGTACGGTAAGCTATTTTGAAACACTAATTGAGTTGCAATGGTAAATACATAATTGTAAGGATAATTTGTAAGAACCCAAAAAATGCATAAATTGGAAAAACAGTCAGAGATTAGTACTGGAATAAATAAGAAATTAATCCTATAGAGAGTATACAATAGTTACAGATGTATGGTTATAGTTCAGAATACTGTTCCAGATGTAATTCCAGTTTTGCAATAAGTAACACTGACATATTTACTTCATTGAAGGAACAGTGTTCATTTATATGAACATGAAAATTTTCATTCTTCCAAATGTAATTACTGGTTATTTAACAAAATAGCTGCCATATTTTGTACTTACTGTTTTCCTAAAATATCTTTTCTAATATCTTTTTCAGGTGTATTTCCAACAGTGCCAGCTGCCAATCCTTATGATGCAAACAAGCCAGAAGATCACTATCATGTTATTGCTACTGAAACAGGTAATGTATTCATAAGAATTCAGTGTTCTGGTAAAAATATTAGCAGTAGACTTGGTTATATTAATTAGGAACTGTTTCCATTTTTGTCAGTGCTATCTATTGGCCCAGGAAATGCTCTGAAACAGTAATGCTCTTGAGTAACATTTCCACAGTTTGAATTGGTCCTTTTTTGCTTGTCTATTTGTTTTTTGTTATTGTAACTGTGGAGACAAAATATTACCTGTGTTTCCTCACACTTCGTTCCAGATCTGTGGTGTTGTGTTGATCGTTGAAATTTGTACAATGCTTCTGTGAGCTTGGTTGATCTCTATTAAGGCACAAAATTTTCCCAGTGATTACCCAGCTATGGGATATCTCCTTCTAAGCTGCGATAGCTAACACCTTGATCCTTTACATCTCTGAGGTTTTCCTTACTTCACTCAGAATCCTGTAGTATTCCAGCACTGGATTTTGCAAAGTTGTCACACCTTTTCCACCCCAGCTGGCTGATTTTGAGAAATTTTCCTAACTCATGTTCTCACTGTTGTTTGTAATGCCAGAGGAACAGGTACACTGATTAATATTTTGAAATCGGTATTAACGAGTTTCATGAAGCATGAGAAGACTCAATATCCTAAAACTGCTGTACTAAAATCTAACAGCCAAGCAGGTGCAGTATCTGGAAATGCACACATATGCTTGCTAGTGAAAATATATATATTTTTTAAAAAAAGATGATGGACAGGAAATAATCTCTGCAATTTTTATTTTAAATGCACACTACTATAAAACATGGGCATATAATAAAGGAAAAACATTTTAATCCTCTCTGGAAACTAAGCGCAGTCAGCTATTCTAGGCAGTGACTAGTTATTCCTTATAGAAGGTAGGCAGAAATGTTATTTAAGCTAATGTATGTCTCTTATTTTACTCTAGATTCCTGTATTAACATGGTCAAGAATATTTCAATATGAAAGCATTAATGAGAAACATTTGTTTTGTAGGTATAATTCCAAACCTAATATATGTTGTAATACCCACTATACCACTACTGCTGTTGATATTGGTGGCTTTTGGGACTTGCTGTTTCCAGATGCTTCATAAAAGGTAAACTATTGATCTGAACTGCTTTTATAGTGCAGAATTCGTATTTCCATTGGCAAGCTATTCATCCTAAAAGACTGTTTACACCTGTTGCCAAGTATGCATATTTTCATCTCTTACTGTTACTCCTTAGCTTCTATAACAGTTCTAGGTCTCAAAGTATATTTGTCATTAGATTTACCCGCTTCTGAAAAAGCTATTTTTGACTATTTGATATGCTGAGCCACATCAGCATTTTTACTTCACCTCTTCCAACATGATTGCCACCTCTACAGCATCTGGTCTGTGGCATGGAGGTATTTACTGGCAGAGGACTCACCACTTTGACCAAATGGCAGCTTGCTTCAAGGATGAATATGTGAATATGTGAGGCCAGTAGCTGGTTATCTCTGTTTAAGTGCTCATCCCATAAAAGAAAGATGGCTATAGCCTTTTGAAAACAAAAAGCAAAGTGTTTTGAGCCACAGGCCTTGCAATTTCTTATTACTTCTTATATGTTCTTAGATAGATACAATGTCAAACAGTTGTGCTACTATACAAGTAAGAGGAACTTTAGCCTATGAAAGGGTATATGTTTCAGTTTATGCTTTAAAGTTTTTTTTTTTCATTTTACTTTTCTTGAAATACACTATTGAGATAGCATACAAGAAGCTTTTTTTTTTCTTTTTTTCTTTTTTTTTTTTTTTTCCTTCTCCCTGGACTAATCTTTCTGAAACTTCTGGGACCATTTTTCATTTGTGAGTGTTCTCATGTTATGCACCTCAGGAAAAAAAAAGTTAACTTGTTTATGGCTAAAACTGTTTTGGTAAAATAAAAAAATAAAACAACAGTAATAATTTGAGAAGCTCTCTTATCTGTCTTGAAAGAATGAGACTACTAATAAGAAGATCGTGATTCTTAAGAAATTAGAAAAGTATTTGTCCTTGCTTTAAGCCATTATTTTCCATCTTTGTGGTTTTTCATCTTTAATTTTCTGCAAATATTTAAAATCATTATTGTAAGTGAGAGAACACTTTATATGTCAGTCTGCTCAGATGTATATCTGCATACATCGTGGTGTTCATGATGCTCCTGAGTTATATGGGAGAGGAGTGAACACAGAGAAAATATACTCTAAGACCTGCATTAGAAAATAAATTGTGTCCTAATGTCATGCTCTTTCATATATATAAATATAAAGCACTTTCAACCTCAGTTACAGTAGGCAAATTCATACTTATAAAAGTTTGTAGTCCCAGTGGACTACACAGTGGTTTGGATAAAAGGATGGAAACTCAAAAGCAAAAACAGTAATAAAGGAATCCTATGTATAACAACAGTACTTATTTAAATCTAAATCTGAAACACGATACAGAGGACCTGGATCTCTTGGTAAGTACAATGGCGTATACTTTAATAACTCTTCTGGCAGTTTTTTTCTCCCCCAAAAATCAAGGTTTTTGAGGCTGAAGTAAGGATCAGTTCAGCTCTCAAATAGTGTTGGTGACAAAATGGGATTCATAGCCCACTGAAATCAATAGCATTAGCAGTGTTGACTTCAGTGGGCTTAGATCAGGCCTTTGCTATAGCAGTTCATCCTGAAATAATTAATCTGTGCATGACAATAATTCATATCTATGCATGACAGATACTGGAAATCAGCTTGGATAATTTTACATTTTCTGTTTGGCTAATTGATTTGGTAGATGAACTGATATATATACAAAAAAAAAATCCAACAACAACAAAAAACAGAAGAAAATGAACCAAAATAGCTTGTTTTGTCTGTTTACTTTCAGAATGTTCATTTTTTAAAACTTCTTTGAAAGAAGATAAAATGTAATTTTTTTCATGAAATATTTTTTTTATCTGCCAAAACAAAGATTTTAGTTCTAATAAGTACATAAATAAATAAATAAATTCCCCTTTATTTTCATCTGTATACACCAAATATTTTGCCAATCACTTTTGTTCTTTTGTTCCTCACAAATGCATAATTTTGGGGAAAAATGCAAATCTAAAGAAAGAAGCAACCACTTTCATTGGTCAGCTGGCCACTGCAAAGCTTTAGAGAAGGTATTCTATCCTGCTGGGGAAGGAGGGATTTCCAACTTTCCAAATGAACTTGACTTCTCATTCTTTTTTTAGGCTGCCACAACACCGTGACCTTTCCTCTGAAAGCCACAATCCATGGGCAACCAGGACATGCCTAGCTTGAAAGGTCATGACTAATTTTGCCTGGCGTGGGCTCTTTAAAGGGTAGTAGTAAGGCAAAACACCTTCCTCATAGCTAGTAGAAATGATCAGCTCATTCATGCTTAGATGGTCTCCCTTTCATTTCTTCCAGGGAAGCAAGGAGAAACTGCTTCAAAGATCCATCTCCATTATCATCTGAATGCCTTGCAGAAAGTTTAAATTCCAACCTGGTATATTTCTCAGTTTCTATGATATATTTCGTAGTAAAAACAGTAATATCCTCCAGCTACTTATGGCACTTCATTACCTTTCTAACTAAAACCTATTTTCTGAACTAATGTATACCTGGTAAAAATCAGCATAAGTTAGCTGAAGATATGTTCATTTGGTGACAGCTAAAGTTCTGATCCAAGGTATTTAGAAATTGTTTCTTGCTCTGAGGGAAAGACTCTTTATTCAAGGCATTTCATTACAATTTTCAAAATATGCCTAATTTTACCTGTATTAATTTGGAAGGCATTAGTGAATCTCTTTCTTACAGAAAGAATATTGGAACTGTTTGATCTATTGAAATTGCTTTGTTTATAGCATTGTTGCCTGATCTAAAGTCCACTGAATTCAATGTGAGTCTTTTTAATTACTTCAATGGGCTCAGGTACATAATGCATTACTTTGTAGGACTTCAGAGGTAAGTCTGGAGGGACTAAAAATTACTACACAATCTGCTCCCTCAAAGTACATTTTAAATCAGCTTAAACCCACTCACGTTGCTCAATTAAACTTACTTATATCTGAATATATAGGACTGCGGGGTTCTTCACTCCCAGGCTTCCAAATGACAGAAGTATGTAGTAGCAAAAAGATTACTGCTCCTTTTGTTTTTTATTAAATTGCAAAAAAAATAGCAAAGTGGATATTATTCTGGCCAGAGTCGAAAACCTTTTGATTGAAATGCAGCTGCAGTGACTCATTAAGTGCCTGACCTTTACATTAGACTACAGTGTAGTGTCATCTGCCATCTAAGTGGGGAAAGGGGGTGCACTGTGGTAGTAGTACTAGCCAAGACCAAGACATTAGTCATGGGGAAAGATAGGCTTCAGTTTAAAGGGCAACTCAGGACTTCTCGTTCATACTTGAGACTGAAAATTTTACAGTGTTGCAGAACAAGTGTTTCTGGAAGTGTCTTTATCTTCTTTATTAAAAAAAATACACAAATTTTGAGTGAAAACTAGTCTTAAGGAAGCTTTCTAGTAGAGACATTCATCACTAGAAGTCTGACTCATATCTCATTATTTCATTAGAATTGAGGTCAAGTGCTGGAGGGAAGAAACTTCCTAGCTGACCTGCACAGGTCAGACCTGCATCACAGACACACGGATGCAGCTCCAGGATGAGCATGGGCAGGGTTGCGGTAGATCTCCTGGGTGGGTGGGCTGCAGCCTGGGCATGTTGGACACATGCTCCAGGGCAGGCATCACCATCCTCCTCATAGTACTGTCTGTGGTGAGGAAAGCATGCAGTCAAGTCAAATAGTCCACATCCATCTCTGGAATCAACTGCTCAATATGAGTAGGTATGGATGTCTGTGAACTGAAAATAATTTCAGTTCTTTGGAGGAACTCTCCTAAACACTGTGGTCTTTGATAACCGTTGCTTACCTTGATTGACCACTGTGGTGATATTCTCAGTGCACCATGGGCATGACCTCTTTGTAGAAGGGAAATCTCTACTATGTAAGTAATAAAGATGACTTTCAAGGAGGAATGAAACATCCAGATCTGATCACAAACCTGAATCAGGGCTACCGAGGAACATGTGTGCTGAAAACACTTTATATTTTATTTTTCAGTAAAGGAAGAACAAAAACCAGTCCAAACCAGTCGACACTATGGATTTCAAAGACACCTAGAAAGGACAGCAGCATGGAGGTATAATGATTTAATGACTGAAAATGAAGCAAAATTTAACATTTTTGCAGACAAGCTGTATTATAGTGTCACCTCAGAACATTAGCTTGGAATGGCTTGAAAATTGCAAAGGATCAACAAGATGAACTGTAAGCTCCCCCTTGAGGCAAATGTTTGGATCTTTTTTTTATATATATGATGTTTGATTATTAATTCAGTAACAAAATATGCCATGCTAAATAAAGGATAAGTGTTTATTTTGCTAAGAGACATAAGTCAGCTAGTAGTAATCAATGAAAAGAACAGTGCATTTGAAGTTTTTATGGAGAAATATCTATAATGTATGTCAGTTTTAAGATTCTTTGTAGTAAACGCTGCTTGTTTCCTTTAATCTTTCCTGCATTGTAACTTAGTTGATGTACTGTAAATTGAATCGACAATTTTACAGTGTAACAAAATTATTTATCTTTGCATAAATGTTTGATACAAAACACTTGTTCAGTATTTATTTTTATACTTTTAAGACAGTTCTTGATTCTCAGATTTTATTTTATCTTACATAAGTTTTGCTCACTAGTAGAGACAGCTACTATGTTGTGATGATACTGATCTGCTGTGGAAAATTTTGAGGATTCATAAAAGTCATTTGATATTATGAGTTCATTTTGACAGTAAACGACCATATTTTTGGGCAATGTTTATTGGTCCAAAGTCAACATAAATCATTTGGTCAGTGATACAACATTACTGAGCTGTTGTTTAAATGCAACATTATTTGCTCTTATCTCGGAGGAAAAAAAAATGAAAAAGACAAGTATCACAATGGATGAGAATTTAAGATTATAATTTATTATTTAGGCAAATATATATAAAATATGTTCAATATGATTTAAATACAGCTAATAGAGTTTGTTAGGAATAATGTAACCTTGGGTCAAAGGACAGAAGATAAATGACTTTTCTTACACTAATCATTCATATCAATAGTACTCAGACTAATAGCCAGAAAATGATTAATTATGATAATTGGAAAAGAGATTTACATTTAATCCCGATGCATTTAAAGTTATCGTTTAGGAATTTTTAATATTATTAATGTATATGCTTTTTTGGTTCTATAAAATCTTTGTAACAAGAATGGTCTTTCTCACCATTTACTAAGATTAGATCATGGGGTAGAAGCAACACCCCTCAGTCTTGTCTGATGGTGACGGTCTGATGCTGTAGCAGAATGGCTGAGGATTTTTGCTGCATTTGTAGTATGAGTTAAAGCACATGAGTTTAAGCTAAATTCAGCTTCCATTTAATGTGGATACAAAACTGCCACTGGGTAGAAGTCGGGGGAAATGAATGAATGTGTTAGCATATTACTCCTGGGAATGCCTAAACTGCACTAGCTGATGCTGAACTCAGCTTTTGAAGTTCAGATGTATGTATCAATTGTTGTGAGTAAAAATAGTTAAATCCTACAAATAGTAATTGTGCAGCACTATTGCTAAAACATTTTTGGGAGCATCTTAAAGTTGCTGTTATGCCAAGCTTTTACTTCTTCTTTGAGAAAAAAATATCCATCTTCTGTAAACCAGGTAGGTATTGCTTTTCTTACAGAAAATATTCTGTAGTTTTTCTGAACACTCACTCTCCTTCCTTTGCTCAGTCCCCTATTTCAGTTTCCTTTCTAGTGATTATAAATATAGAAAAAATGCTATAATCTGACATTATCACCAAGATGAAATTAGTTTATCCTTCTTAGCCTAAGGATTGCTTAAGCTACAGAATTGTCACATCATTATATTTTCTGCTTCAAATAGTCATGTAAAGACACAGCAGTCTATATCACAATTAGTATAAGTGACAAAGTCACAACAAAGTAACAGAGTTTATCTTGAAGCAGCTATTAGGATGATGAAAACATGTTTCCCTTGCAAGTGTTATAGGGTGAAGGGGGTGCTGGACAACTACCAGCACTCTCTGAAGGAGAGATGGAAACTGGCAAATAATGCTTGAGTTGTAATCAACTCATGTATTCTATATGGAAGCAAGACATATAGATAATATGAAAGTATTTATTTCCAATAATTCTACCTGCTTAGGGAAAGGAAATACATATCTATGGACTCTTTCTGAACTTGTTCTTAGGTTCCAGATAAAACCTAGGAAAATAAAAAGAACCTTGTGAAGAATCCTAATTAAAAGAAAACAGAATGATACAGAAGGCACTACCGTAAATGTAGTCCTTACCAATGGAGAAGGCCATAACTTGACATGACCAATGCATAGACTCATGGCTGACCTTTTTAAATGAGTGATTCTTTTCCATATAAAGCATACAAATCCTGTACATACATAAATTCTTCTTTCATTAGGAGTTAGGAGGTAAGAAGAAAAGGGAGAAAGATTGCCCTGTTTCACAGTTGAAAACAATACAATGAGATTGTATTCTGCTCCTTCTTCTGATGGATTTTGTTGTTGGCTATTTTTTGAGCCTGAACGTGCGTGACATGGTCCATTAGTGTTAATGGAATTACTGTTTAAGGAAATTAACTCTTCATTTACTTTAAAACTATCACAGTGGGAAAGGAGCAACTATAAGCAGCTGGTTTCAATTGGGGCTCCTTAGAAGAAGCTAGCTTCTACATATAGTTTTAGTGTCATCCTGTGGTTAGCAAGTTCCTTTCTGCTCATTCTTTCCCTGTATCTCTTGTCAAATGGCAGCAGTACGTGATGCAAGGTACTGAAGGACAAAAGAAAACACAGAGTCACAGAATGGTTAAAGTTGGAAGGGACCTCTAGAGATCATCTAGTCCAACCCCCATGCATAAGCAGGGACACATAGAACATGTGACACAGGGTAGATTTCCAGGTGGATTTTGAAGATATCAAGAGAAAGGGATTCCACAACCTCTCTGGGCAACCTGTTGCAGTGCTCTGTCACCCTCACAGGAAAGAAGTTCCTCCTCACATGAAGATTAAACTTCCTGTGTTTCAATTTACACCTGTTACTGCTCATCCTGTCACCGGCCACTACAGAGAAGAGCCTGGCCCCATCCTCCCTACATTCACCCCTCAGGTACTTGAACATTTTGATCAGATCTCCTCTCAGCTTTCTCTTCTCTAGACTAAACAGGTCTGGCTCGCTTAGGAAAGACTAAGATAGATGCTCCAGTCCCTTAATAATCTTCGTGGCTCTACGCTGCACCCTCTCTAGAAGCTCAATGTCCTGCTTGTACTGGGGAGCCCAGAACTGCACACAGTACTCCAGGTGCGGTCTCACCAGAGTTGAGTAGAGGGGCAGGATCACCTTGCTCGACCTGGTGGCAACGCTCCTCCTGATGCAGGCCAGGATCCCATTGGCCTTCTTGGCCACAAGGGCACATTGTTGTCTCATGGTTAACTTGTTGTCAACCAGGACTCCCAAATCACTCTCCACAGAGCTGCTTTCCAGCAGGTCAACCCCTAATCTGTACTGGTGCCTGGGGTTATTCCTCCCCAGGTGCAGGACCCTGCACTTGTTCTTGTTGAACCTTATACGGTTCCTCTCTACTCAGCTCTCCATCCTGTCTTGGTCCCTCTGAATGGCAGCACAGTCCTTGGGAGTATCAGCCACTTCACCCAGTTTGGCATCATCTGCAAACTTGCTGAGGGTGCACTCTGTGCCCTCGTCCAAGTCATTGATGCACAAGTCGTACAGCACCAGGCCCAGTACTGACCCCTGGGGGACACCACTGGCCACAGGCCTCCAACCAGACTCGGCCCCATTTATCACCACCCTCTGGGCTCTGCCATCCAGACAGACCTCAGTCCACTTCACTGTCCACTTGTCCAGGCCATGCTTCGAAGCTTTCCTCTGAGGATGTTATGGAAGACTGTCTTGAAAGCCTTGCTGAAATCAAAGTAGACCACATCCCCGGCTCTCCCATTGTCCACCCAGCCGGTCACCTCATCGTTGAAGGCTATCAGGTTTGTCAGACATGACTTTCCCTTGGTGAATCCATTCTGACTACTCCTGAGCACCTTCTTTTCCTTGACATACCTAGAGATGGTCTCTAGGATGAGCTGCTCCAACACCTTTCCAGGGACGGAGGTGAGGCTGACCGGCCTGTAGTTTCCCGGTTCCTCCCTCTCGCCTTTTGTGAAGACTGGAGTGATGCTGGAGTGATTTTTTTAATTATATGTTTTAAGAAGAACGTTGTAATGTTGTGAGTCTGGGCTTGCATGTGTATAATTACTTGAGTAATTTCCAAAATGTTTACCTAAGAAGACTTAAAAGTCATATTCAGACCTTATATAATTCCATTAATTATGAACAAATTACACCAGAGAGAACTTTTGGCTTACATTCAATTTATTCATTATAAAGCAGCATGATACATGATCAACCTTCACACACAATCTATAAAGCTCATTAAAGAGCTTTTTCTAAGAGACAAGAGAGAAGCATTCTCATGAGCTCCCAGATTAAACAGAGTACATATACCTTCACTTTGATACGTGATGATTACTGAGCTAATTCACCTTGCATTGAAATGAGAATATACTTTGGGAAATGCAACATTAAACTTAAAACTAGTTAACATATTTGGCCTGAAATTAATAATTTAGAACATTTTTTTTTCAATAAAGCACATATAGCTTACAAATGTTTAATTTTTTTTTATACTACCAATACTTTGAAGCCCTCTACTATGCATTTTGTGTACTGATGCTGAAAGAATATGTTTCCCCTCTATGGGCAATATAACAGAGTCACATTTCATATTAACAAAAAAGTAAAATGATGAAACTGTTAATTGAAAAAATGTCCTCAATTGAGGAGGAGGGAATATGTAATAACTAACATTTTCTTCCCTAAAATTTAATTGTAGACTGCATTTTGAGAGATATTTAGTCAGTAATTCTGTTAACTGTGAATTTTGAATTTTACTGTGTTTTACATGATTATATGCTGGCTTACTTTCAACCTTTAAATATTGTTTGTCTCCTTAAAAAATAAGCTAATGGATGATTTTTCTGATCCAATCCACAAAACTTGTGACTCGAGCATACACTCCTGGTCGCTGGGGAAGTGCACACTGGTAGCCAAATGATGTTACACCTGCCAAAAACCACTTGTCACCATCTTCAAACATCAGAGGGCCACCCGAGTCTCCCTGCAATATGCAAGTCAAACATTAGAAGTGAGTCAATTTTGAAAAAAAGCTTTTGTCTATGATGTTTTGTTCATGCTTTATCTTTCTCGCTTGAACATTGCAAGTTAGATCATTATGGACTTTGAGAATTTTTAAATGTTGCAATGATCTATTTCCTTCTCTCCCCTGCCTTTTTTTTTCAGGATGTTCTTATCAGTATTTCAGTACAGGATTGAGTTTCAAATTATTTCTTTCAGCTTATTACTCTTAGCTCAGCCCTTCATCTTTCAAGCTTGGGTAAATTTGTAGAATTTATTTTAGCTGAATTTATTTATCCAAAATATAACTTTATTTTCTGTTACCTCACATTTTTTGTAATTTCAAATTCAGAGAAAAAAAGAGGGCAAGTGACAGCAGAGGAAGTATACTCTTCTCTCACCTCTTTCTCAATAGGTTAGTAATTACAAGACTCCAAAAGAGTATGGGAAAACAAATTTCATACTTTTTGTATCCTGAGTGGCCTCGAATATGTTTTTTTTTCAGAAGAAAATAATAACTGGTACTCCTTGTCTATTCAGGAGTGAGTTACTATAACCAATATTATTTTTGTCTTCATTCAGCCCCGTTAATGGAGCTTTGGAAAGAAGAGTTCTGTTGGGAATCAGACATTAAAATGCTTCTGCCTGTGGCTTGAGGGCATCCACAATAGTTCAAAAGCTGCAACAGCAGCTTATAGGCTGAAGTACTATCATGACTCACTTGTTCCTCTGCTCACAGGTGAATGGTCATTGCTCGCAACACTGGTCACTCGTACTCTATTAGCCTATTGTGCTTTGCATACTTTTTTTTTTTTTTTTTAGTTTGAAAGGCAAATGGCAAAAAGCAAAGTCACTGTAGCTGAA